TGGACGGTTTTGTGTGGAATTTTTGTGATATTTTTGTTGAAATATTATTCGTTTTTTATGATTTGGGGGATGAGAGTTTGACTATTTAACAAGTGACTGCTAATAATAGGTTTTTACTACGGAATGACATTGCTAAAATTGATGGCACATCACACCCCAACTTGAAACAACTACCTGTAGGTCATGCAAATATTGGTTCCACGAGGGAATCGATCCGCAACACGTTGTATAGCAGTTGGTTACCGATCTTGCTTATGACTAGTTAAAAGGAATTTGACGAGGTAAAACATTTTTTAAAAAGGTTCCAGTTGTTTCAGCAACATTGGACTGTTAATATACCTACAGACAGAAAAATATATTTCTTTTTGTTATGTGTATTTCCCTATACATTTCATTACTCTTTATATAATTCATCGCAATTTCATTAAGCTACAGTCTATTAATAATGTTAATAAGCTTACACGAATATCAATCAATGAAATACCCGATTCCAATAATATTCATAACAATTACGAATAACAAATTCAATTCTTTGTAAACATATTCCAACGTTCCCCAATGCACGTTTATTATGCAAAAAATGCTTTTAAATTATCTTCCAAACGGTTAATTTAATAAACTAGTACTTATTACGTTCATATGAGTATTTTAATTAAGTACTGTATTTAAATTAAATTTATGTTAACTACCTGGGTAATTTGTCCGTGGGGTAAAATAGTCGTGTTTTAACATTACCTTTTTACCTGTAGGTATTACCCTAAGGGACGGGTAAGTTAGAATAGAATTTCTGTTATAGTTTTGGTGGATTTTTATCTTAATTTCGTATTTTCTAGTGTCACTGATGGAGGATATGAAGCTGTTGAAATCATTTCTCAGACCGTACAATTGTTTTATTAAAATGTTATTTCTTATTTGACTGTACAACATAGGATAACGTTCTGATTTGAATTGGGTGTATCACAATAAACAGAATAGTAGATAATAATATTTGATCTTTGCCACAGTTGTTTGCCAAAGTTAAATAAATAGTTTTTATACCATTTAAACATAATTCTAGATAACTTTCCCATAGCACAGAGCTATGACCTCTAGTAGTAAATCTGATGTCTCTACCCGCTCTATCAAAGTGTTTACGAGTTGACTTGGACTCTACTGCTCATAGCTAAGAGCTTTATTGTATAATAAACGCTGTGAACGTCTCTACATTGTCATCTCAGTTGAAATGACGTTTGGAGATGAAAGGTGAATGACCTGCTGCAAAATAATATTAATGTTTGGCTATCACAGTTATTATAGTAAGTTTGATGAGAATCAAGATGCTATTTTGGATGGATTTAGATATCTTCACTACATATAAACATATAGTTTAAAAAGTTCAAGATTATCATCATCATCATCATAACATCACACCTTTTATCCCCAAAGGGATAGGCAGAGCTGCACATTGCTGTACTACCACTGTATAATGTAACACCCACTTTTCACTATTTATGTCCCAAGTAATAGGAGCTGAGTCTATTGCCATATACCGGGCACATTTTCAGACTCCGTGCTACTATTGAGATTGTTTTTAAATACTTTGTCCAACCCGGGAATCGACCCTTGCCCGGCAGTCGCACTTAACACCACTCGCCCAATGAGGCAGTCAAGATTATCAATGACTACCTGGGCTCTGTCAAATGTCCACACATTACCTGTCCTTTAATCGGTACTTGCGATACCAACAGCAAAAGTGGGGTGTTGACAAATGTATTTTACTCGGCCATACTACATGTCGTACTCTGCCAGCACCAAACGAAATAATTACAAAATAAAAATGGTTGACTGAGTTCACCCACTACTAATAATGTTGGTATAATTTCCAATACATGTATTTACACACATTGCCACTCCCTATAATCAAGTGAACCACAACAAGCGATAGTTTTATAATGATTATATTATTCAATGGCCACTGGACACTAATTAGACATCCGCTAATTTAATTACCAATTAATTAGAGACAGGCCATAATTGGTTTGTTGTAATATACGTCATTTGTATACAAATATACCTCTACAGTAAATAATTTTCATTTCCCTATACGATAAATCGAGGAGCAGTTATAAAGCACACCGTCATATGACAGTCCATGACAATCTCCTGCCTAACCGTTATTTCCGAGTCGATACGACCTTCAAACCTACAAGAAAAAAGCGTATTCCTTTTTAAAAGGCTGGCAACGCACCTGTGACTCCTCTGGTGTTGCGGGTTTCTATGGGCGGCGCTGATCGCTTACCATCAGGCAATCGCTGCAAGAGTAGCAGTGATAATAATAAACTTTCCCATCTCCACACGGTATGGTATAGTTATGAATCAAAACCCTCGTCCATATAGATGTTTTGATATCAAAACAAACAGGATATATTAAAACTAATACTAAAAATAACCTTTTCATGTAAGAAACTGATTGAAAAATAATACAAAAATAGTCGTAGGTGGCCGACACAAATTTATGAGAGCCAATAAATATGTATTGAAGTCTTTGAACCACATCCCGAGTGGGGATGAGACGGGATGAAAAGGGATGTAACTGGATTCGTACGAATGAGAACCATCCAATGCATTGTATTATGAAACGGAGACATTTTAAAATTTTATTTGTAGTTTCAAGTGGAGTTAGTTTATATCGTTACAAGCTAAATGTTTTTTTATTAATTGTCTGTGTAACCGAAAATCGTTAAAACATTAATACACGAATACAATACAAAATTATTAATATAATGCAAGTAAGAACTGCATAATTTTACAATCGTTAATCTGGACTGCCAAACATGTGGTACTTGATTCGGTTCAATGAAAAGTGAATTATTTTTTTATTAATTTCTAGGTATCAAAACAACAAGAAATCTAAAACATGTTATTCCATAATAAAATCAATACTAAGGTTATATTAGAATGATAAATATGTAATTGAAGCCGTCGTTTCCGCATACAATTCTGTATTATTTACTAGTGTTGTAATCAGTCGTTATCACTTACATAATTTCTGCTTGATATCATTTGTGAATTGCCTATGTATTCATTATAGTACGGCGCCGGCTGATAAGACGCGATATTCGCTACCGTATTTTACATAGGAATGTGACAGACGCCTTTAGTGGGTAATACATAGTTATTTTAATTAAACTGTTATTTAATTTTATTGTACGGTTGTCGCAGTAGCAGGTCATTCGACTTCAGCTCAACGTTTTGGAGTTTGATCGATTCGATCTACAGATCACCACAGATTGTTTCAAATCAGAGTGTCATAAGTTTATGAATCGGTATGTTTGTGAACGCACCCATGACACAGGAGAAGACAAACAAAATAAAGTACTGTGGCCAGCATATCAAGTAACGCCAATGTGTTAATTTTGTCATTGGATTTTCGACTTTATCTATCTAAGTGATATAGTTGAAAATCTTTTTAAAGGGCCGGCAACGCTCCTGTGACTCTTCTGGTGTTGCGGGTGTCCATGGGCGGCGCTGATCGCTTACCATCAGGTGATCCGTCTGCTCGTTTGCCTCCTATTCCATAAAAAAAAAAAAAAAAAAAAAAAATCTTATAAAGAAATCTTAAAAAACAGTACGTTGACCTGCCCACTGTACTGTCTTTAATATGAATAGCTATGTATATTTTTATATATATGTTAAATATTTCAGTGAACTTGAACAATGTACAGACATAACATGTATGGTATGTTAAGAAATTATCAAAGTCCCCACTATCACTTACTACGATCGAAGATTAGTGTGGAATTTGTATTTTTATCGCTTTATCTACAACGCCTTGTGTTTATACAATAAACAGGGATTTTAATTGGACGAATTATACGTATCTAGTAAATTTATAGGCAGTTACGTTAAATGTGATAAAGTATGGCAGTCGTTAGTTACAAGAACTTCATAATTTATTCATTGATTTAGTTTTTCTCTTTTATTTCAAGTACCAAACAAGGCCTTAGGAACAAGGAGTAAGGTATCTACGGTTCGATTCCCGGGTTTTTTTAAAGGGGGGAAAATCATCGAATGACTGCTCCCGCCTGGGTGAGGCGGGAGGGAGTGTCAGACTCTTACTGACTAAAAACCACCCCGTTCCTTCTCCTGTACGTTGAGCCGGAGCCCCGGTTACCCGTTAGGTTCTCCGCGACTCGATTCCCGGGTTAAGCATCTATTACTGAGATGATGTCTGTTATGTTTTAAGTGAATCAGAGTCTGAGTTGAAAGAATTTATTTTCGAACTGGGAGTCGAACTCTACAACAAAAACACATCTCTTCTATGACGCATAAAATACTAAACATAATTCTATATTAAAACCATATACAATACATAGACCGTACTTTGTTTTGTTCCCCATTAATCGATCTAAGCATCTATGCATACAACTTGAAATCCGTTCATCGGGTGAAAGTTATTTCAAGTTTAATTCATAGATATGTTATCAGACCAGGTTTAACATTATGTACCTACTTATGATTACACAAGTGGAACCAAGGTCAATGTTTTTCCATTAAAATATACTAAACTTTTTTTGAAGTTTCACCATGTCTGTTAATTTAACATTTTTTAAACTCCCTCAAGAATTGTGTTATGAATTATATCTTCAAAAGATAGGTATGTTTAAACAAACAAACACTAGCTGTATTAGGTAGGTATACTTGTATAGATAGTACTAAATATCGATAAATTACAAGTCATGCATATTTGCAAAATGGTATTTAGTAATCTTTGGTATTTCCAATATAGAATTAGACTATCAAATAGAACTAATTTTATTCACGCAACGAAAAACACACTTGAATTTTAAAGTTTGCTAAAATATTTCTAAAACTCCTAAATAACACACAGCATCTGCATCTAAAAGTATGTCACTCTTATCTAGAGCCGTAACTTTATCTCAAACCATATTGTCAGAGGTGATAACGTACATAACTGATCGCGTGATAACGTGATAACCTCACATTATATAGTACCGCGCGCCATGTATGACGTGGCTCTCGTCGTCGGCGCCGGCAGTAATCTCGGCTACCAAGTCCTCAAGAAACTCACAGAAACCTACAATGGAAAAATTTACTTCACCACCGAAGATGAAACCACAGGCTTCAACATCCTCAAAAACCTGGAAAGACACAACTTAGATCTGAACTTCATACAAATGGACGTCACCTACACGAAGAGCATCATCAAGTTGAGGCACTACATCCAAGATTTGGACGAAAGAATAGACCTGATCATCAACGCCACAGACTATGTTCCAGAGAAAAGGATTTCGCTATCAGAAATTGTTAGGAGGACACTGAGTGTCAATTTTTACGGATACATTAATTTTGGTAAATTGGTGTACCCGATACTGAATGAGAACGCGAGGGTTATCAATGTATCAGGTCCTGCTGGTCTACTGGCTACTATAGAAAACGAAGAAATAAGGAGAAGGATAAGTGACTCTAATTTGACAGAGGATGAGCTGGTGGCCATCTTGCAGGATTACGAGCAGGCTGCAAGAAGAGGCACGGAGAAGACAGAAGGATGGGGAATGAGCGTGCACTGCGTCAGCAAAGTTGCTTTAAATGCAGTAACCTTCCTACAACACAGAGAATGGGCTAGTAAAGGTATAACAATTAATTGCGTGAACCCTGGCAATCTGAACAGCAAAGAAGGAAGGAAAACGGCAAGAGTCTACGAGGAAGGTGCCAAAGCAATTTTGTATTTGGCCTTTGAAGCGCCTTTGACGTTAAAAGGTAATTTTGTTTGGAGCAATTATTCTGTGATTGAGTGGAACTCTGACCCGTTTGTGGAGGTCACGACAGTGTAAATAAGTATTATATATTATATATAACGTATGAGATAATAACATGTTTGACAAACTCCACGGTAGGTACTCGTGTGATGAACTCATGACTAATTTAAGAGTTCCAGAGATAAACAAAAGTATACCTAAAAGTGATGTGGACAAAGTTGATAATATAATGTGTACATAATAAGAGCTAATTTAGAAAATAGTGACTGATATATTTATTGTTGAAGATGAATAATAAAATGTATTAAAATTAAAGTGTTGTATTATTCAGTGTGCGTACAAGTGTTCATCATTATCAGTGTATTTATGAAAAATAGAAGTCACTGCGGCGACTGATAGCAATCTTATCTGGTATTAGACACCAATATTTGTATGTTCGAAGCATAATAAAACCATCACACCAGTCTGTTGGTCAGACATGAAACTCCAAATAATCAAACCATTTCTCTTTTCTCACACCTACAGCCCTACACATATTATTAGCCACTCTTCAGAATAATTCACAGGATTACTGATATACTTACCGATTATACTTTGTCTCCAATGAAAATTATGAGACACATTTTCATTGCAACATCGTAAGTAAGGAAAAACTGAATTCACCTTTCTTTTACATAAAGAAAACCATTAATAAATAACAGATAACAATCAACAACACTTTGATACTTCATCAACACTAGCTTCGAATCCAGATTCAACCGAATAACCAACTCCCAAGCAAAGACCACAACAACACACTCCTACTGACCCCTTCAGGGAATAAGAATAATAATAGTGTTGGTACGTACATAACAAGCCTCGTTACTTAGCCTTCCTGTATCGCAGTTTGATTCCCAAGTCGGTCAGTATCATTAAACGGCTGTTAGTATTCACCTACTACGGTGAACCCTCCGTTAATTAAACTAGTACTAGCTACTAGAAATAGTTACACTCTTGTTATACAAAAATCAACCTTATAACGGTGGGATAAAGATGCCATTGTCAAGTGAAAGGTTACTTGGGTGATTGTTTGGAAATCTGGTATGTATAATTTTCATTTGTATCGATTTTGAGGGTCTTTTTAAAGAAATTTGAACTCTATAAATATGTATCACTCAGTCCTATTTTGCATGCCTATGAAAGTTATTAATAAAAATCTTAGTCAAGAAATGCACCGTTGACATGGCTATGCGATCAGCTGTTGCGCATCGTGCTGTGAGTTTGATTCCCGTATGGATTATGGAATTTTTCAACAACATAAAGAGAAAATATCTATTCGATAACTCGTTAACTGATGCAATCAGTTTTGCAACCACCAGACCAAACAGGTATTAAAGTATTTTAATATAAAATAAATTAAATACTTGGAAATACATAATCCGCGCTCTTCATCAATATATGAATTTTATGAAAACATATTGAAACAATGTACTTTATGTATAGGTATGTAGAGTACATTTTAAGCAGATTAAAATTACAAGCGCTTGCATTGAATTTTATTTTAAAGAATTTCATGTTAATTCGATTGAGCTTGTATCGGCTATGGAGGCTATACATACCTGAATTAACAACTTTTGTACATACAAAACTTGCTAAAAGAAGAATTTTTCACTGAGATATGCTTGATGTAAGGCTAAGTAGTGACATTTCAATATTTGCAAGAATGTGGTATAGTTTTGAAACCGTACATTTTCGCTGAACATAATTATTGGGTTATTTAGGTAGGTATTTATCCCAGCTATCATCCCTCACAGTATGGTGCAGTATTTACTGGACACCCTGTATAACGGAATTTATGACGAAAGTCATTTTTACTACTTAACTTAACTTCACGCCTTTTATGCCTGAAGGGGAAGGCAGAGGTGCACATTACGGCACTTAATGCCACTGTACAATGTAACACCCACTTTTCACTATTTATGTTATGAGTCCCATGTAATAGGGTATGCTTTTTGCCATATACTGGGCACATTTCCAGACTCCGTGCTACTACTGAGATTTATTGAAAAAACCCGAGACTCCTTGCCCGGCTGCCGGTCGCAATTGCGACCACTCAGCCAACGAGGCAGTCAACTACTACTATAGAGACAAAACAAATACAATATTGCATCTAATCTTCACCTGAGTGCCAAGTAATACTTCTTATTTTCGATCTTCCAGTTATAAAAAAATTTAAAGAAAAAATAAATTGTATTACTCTTTATCCATTATTTAAACATTATGCATCTTCAATCTCAACAATAACAATATAAAACGTCTTAAAAAGTAATCTTTTCAAGTGGACACTGCAATCGAAATAAAGTGTAAATTCAGTTTTGCATTCATTGCGCGCGACCCACGTGTTTATTGCAGTGTTAACAGCAGATACAAGTCAATGTACAGTGCGTGGTGCGATTTTATTGCAGATCGAAGGATACTGAGGTGCCTAAGCTCTCGTAAAATCACTTTTTACTGTCTCCGAAGGTAATTTCACTGATCGTTCCGTAGAAGTGCAGATTGTCTTTAAATGGCCCAGTTTTCTAAAGCCAAGACTTTATTGCAAAGGATTAGAGACGGTTTTCCAATGGCAAGTTTATCTATGAGTTTCAATTAAATGGGAGGACTAGATTATTTCTTCAGTTAAGTTGTGTCTTTAATTCGCTGTACCTGGCCTGTTCGCGTTCACTCTTTTGAGAATTTATTTAAATAAAGCTCGTCTATTTTGTCTCGAATTTACTCCACGTAAAGGAAAATAGTTCAAATGTATTTTAATGTAAGTTTTTATTTAAAAACAGTTTATACTCGAAGGCTTTTCATTAGTATATATTAACTCTTTAGAAGCTTAGCGTAATGTTGAGTACATTATGGCAACTATACACTACACCTACGAACAAGAAAAACCCGAATATTTACATTAAGTAATGAAGAACGCGAAAAAAATATAACTGGCTGTGTATTTCAGTCTTCATTGTGATCTACCACAAACACAGAAACATTGTTAGTCTAAACATTCAAGGCCAAAAAGGTAAAAAGATAATTATTTCTTTATACATTTATAAACATTTCCTTTTGTGGACGCGACAGTACCATCTTTTAATTATAACAAATTACGTTTCTTAGGATTAATCTTAGAAATTACAATTTTAAGAAGTCCCCTTGAGCGTGGCTTATAATTTTGTTTTATAAAATATACGCCGTTTTTTTCTTGACCTTGTCATCTGCAGGTTGTTTAATTACCTACCTAGCTATATTATATAGGTATGTGCCACTTCTCAAATCAAAATAAAGTATTTATAGTAGAGAAGAACATACGAATCTATTATCTTACTTACTTAGGTCTGGGTACAAAATTCTTAGACCAAATTGGAAAAATAGCTTCACTTAAATAGCCCGACTGAATGACATTTTAAATAGTTTATTTGAGTGCCTTCTTGACTTGATTGAAATAAATTATTTTTTTTTTACTTTGACATTCAACGTCACGCAATATGGAAACTACATTTTACTTCAATTTAATCTTAGTACGAAATAAATTAAGGCTTAAATCATTTTTAATTATACTACAAAGTGCGAAGGCGACGAAATATTCTTGCAAGCCAGTGTTAAACACAAAGCCAGTAATGACACGTCAGCAGCACGCGACGTACCGCGGTGTTGCGCGTAACGTCACCGCTACGCCATTATGCCACTACGCCGCTACATCACTACGCCACTATACCACTACGCCAAATAATCCCAGGTTGAGTATATTTTTAAGCAAAAATGGCATAAAGGATTATTATTGTCATATTTTATTTGAAAGAGGATTATCTATGTATGTATTTCGTTTAAATAAATACATATATTCCGTTGTTCGGTTGAAAATGAAATATTTTATAATAAAGAACGAGAAATTTGCGAAACATTTAAAAAAAAACTCTTTAAAAAATCAGGTACCTGAGTTAACAAATACGTAGGTTTTATGTTACAATTAATATTTCACATTTAAACTGTCAAACACCAAGCGGTCACCGGTGACCGCAACCTATTGTTCTATAGAGATAATTGTGTCTAAAATGACGGTACTTGACGAGTTAAGATATATTAATGAACATGTCTTACTTGTCATTGTCATAGTGCCTATGGTATTATGAAATACAACAAAGAATATTCCAATCTACTAGATAAAACTAAAACTAATAAATAAAATACAGAAGCTAGTTTAGATAAGTGATTGTATCTAAAGCGATCGCGCGACTGTCTTAACTTTTTCTTCCTAATGAGTTAATTAATTAAACTTTCCTACTTTTTGCTTAGTCAGCCGATTCAGTTCCCGGTTCGAGTAATTGGTAGCTACGGAGCACTAACTAACGAGAATGCAGTCGTCTTTTTACGTGACAAATTTTGCATTAGACGCTAATTGTTTGATGAGAAGCATTAAGATATATTCTTAGTATTAAAATCCAACTACTGGGCAAGATATCTGGAGTTGAATTCATGAGTCGGACAAACTGACCAAGTATTATTGGGATGAGTTCTATTTTAGGACAATTTAACTTGTATTATTAACAGACAGAACTTAATATTGGTATATGGAATAAAACCAGGCATTACTTTGCGGAAATCCATACTACACTAGCAACTATGAAAATATTTAATTTTTATTCCGCTGAAGGAATGAATTTGCAGCATGCAGTATGCAGCAACGCTCTCTTGCCCGCAGATAAACGCTCCTGCAACAGAGATGCGATACAAAACACACACACGACATGTGGAGGAGCGAAACATACGTCGTGTGGCCCGAGTGGTTGATAGTGGTTGATTGCGTGTCTTGTTTTTCAAATTTATCCCTTCAATGGAATAAAAACTAAATATTTTCCCAGTTGTTAGCTTAATGTTGGTGCCTGTTGTGTGGCAATAACCTAGTTTCTTTTTACATGGGACTGATGACATCACTAGCGAAAAGCGGATATTGCATTCATAAGTGCAACTAAGCCTACAACTTGGGGGATAAAAGGCGTAATGTTATATTCTACAAATATGTACTTAAATGGAGTACAGAATATAATAATAGATAATAATTGTATTCCTTTGTAAGCAGTAAAGAAGCTCCAATGTACCGTCTATGGATAATGATCCTCACTAACTTGTAAATACATAACATAGTGCTACTATAATATTATTCCTAGAACCGCTGTGAGCTATAATAACAGAAATTCCTAGAACTTAGGTCTTAGAACAATATATTATGTACTAAGATTTAATTACCTATGTATACAGAATAGGCTCTTAATAATAATTAATTGA